TCTGTGGGAGATGAAAAACCAGATCATCCAAACATAGGAGCTCCCCTGTACGGAGGTAAAAATACTTAGTGCCGCCCAGATCCTTCTATCATGTTATAGCTATGTCTTAAGTGCTTGTTGGTTCAAGGAGTCACTGGGGACCTTGGGGGTGATGGAGCAGTGGGGAAAGTTGAGTCTTTGCAGAAAACAAACAAACAAATGGATTCTTCCATCAATCAGAGGATCCAAAGACAGGAATTGTAAGAGAGAAATATTCTTGGACTTTTGGCCAAAGTAAAATGCCTAAACTAAATTCATGTTTCTGCTGTTCTCTGCAGAATTAAAATTGAGATTGATCGTACCTGCTCTTCTAGATCCTTAGCTAGCAGCCATGGGTAGCGCGGGAGTTGGTTTCTCTGTGGTGGAATCAGGATGGGGAGGAATGCACTCAAAGAATGGAGTCTCAGCGCAGATGCATTTGCACCAAATGGCCTTAGAATTATCCCTTTCATGATAAGAATGTAAACACAGGCGCTCAAGAACAAGACTTCAAGCACTGGGCTTGTAATTCTCCCAGGCAACTGGAAAGAATTTGCTGGCTAAGGAAGGGGACACGGTGCCCTTTGATTGCCAGGGATGGTACCAGGCATCTCCAAGGAATGTTTTATGTCAAATTAGACATTTTTATGACCTGTTCTGGAAAGGCTGCCTTATAAGCAACATATGACCCTTACTGTAAATCTCACTGCCTGAATGAACTTTTATACTTCCTGGAACTGGTTTTTGTAGCCAACTTAAATGTATGTATACAACGAAAATTCCCCTGCCCGCCCCCCCCCCCCCCCCCTCCCCCTGTGCCCGTCCCCCAGAGAGGAGGCCATACGCGGCTCCCTGTGATCCATTCCCCCTTGCTACCCCCCCATTTTTCTTGACCTCTTCTGGCTTCAGTGACTGCTTAACCTAGCCATGATTCTTGCTTTAACTTCTTTTGGCCTTTACAACAATTTCTGCCAGAGTCCCTCTCCCCAGCATCACCGTGTGTTTTCGTTTTTTGTGAGCTGGTCATTTCCTCCATTTGAACAAATCTTTCATGACTCATAAATCCTCTGGATTTCACTTAACAGTTTGAGTCATTTTTCACTACGAAATGTCTTCAAAAATCTTGAAAGGCTATATAAAATATGGCATTTGTATTTGGCCATACAAATGCTATATTCCTATCACTCACATAACAATCACACGAGAGGTTGAGATTATAGATATGACTCCGCCAGATTCATCTGTACTAAATCATCCCTCCTTTGAGTGCATTCCATCTACATCCTTATTTGATCACAGAGAAAATATCTCTCTAGTTCCCATGATTACTAGCTAAATAATACACCTAAAAGAGAAATCATTGTTAACTTCAATTTTAATTCTGCTGAATATAGAAAATACATGGATTTTGTGTAGATATTTTACCTGAGGCAAAGGTTCAGGAGAGTCAAAGGTCGGGAAAATCTGTCTCTTACAATTCCCTCCTTTTGATCAGAGATTTTATTGAAGATCTCCTGATTGACTTAACCATGAGTTATCTTTTCTTTTCATTTTTCTTTTTTTGTGTGTAGGGCGGGGCAGCAAGATGTGCTGAAAACCGCAAGATGATCTCTTACTACATTAAATGTGGTAAAAGTTTTAGCATCTCTTCCAAGTCTCCTACCATATATATATATAAATTGCAACATCATAAATTATTGTGGGTTTTTGATGGAATCTATAAGCAACCTTCTTTTTCCCTGCACAAAATCATAATTTTTATCAGTTTATGCTCTATAATCACCAAAGTGAATAACAGATATGATAGTTAATAATAGAAAATGCTTATGGGCACCCCTGTGGGCTAGGCACTGTCCCCAGTACTTTACATGCATAACGTGATGGCTCACAATAACTCTGAGGCAAGTACTATCATCCTGTAAAGAAAACTTAGGTTCAGAAAGTAAAGAAGTTTATCCGAAATGACTAAAATAAACCAAAATTTTAGTCCAGAACTTTCTTTCCCTTGTTTATTCTTTTAATTACTGAATTATCATATTGGAATTAAAATAAAATTCTTAGGGGTGAAACTACCCCTCTCCCTCCTTCAGTTCCTCACCTGCACAATATGC